GATGACTCTTTCAGATTGTGGCGTTGCCCTTGAAATTACCATACTTCCGTTTGACTTTCTGAGAATATAGGAATAGTGAGAGAGTGCACTTCTCCCTTTTCTGTACCGGCAGCAATGCACTCACCGTCCCACATGATGGCGGTGATGGCCGAATCGGTGTCAACCACTGATGAATAAAAATTCCGAATGGTGTATAAAGATGCGGATTCCACGGCTTTGACGGCTTCGACGGCCCAGAAGCACAGAGTGCCATTGCCATGTCCGGCGAGGAGGATGTTGGCGTTGCTGTGACTCTCGAAGTTAAGATACTCCACGGAACGCATAGGTGAGACCACGCCCTCAACGCATGGGCCTGGATTGCCCGACCTCTGCGTCAGTTTTGAGATTCTGCTTCTCACATCTACTAGCGTCAGAACCGTGCCATCACTTGATAGTTGCAGCAGATGGTACTCAGTGGCGATAAAGTAGTGTTTTCGCTGTTCGTCTCGTGCTATATTCTGTACGCCGCCAGGTTCGCTAACAATATCGCGAATACAAATAGAAAAGCACAACATTGCATTCGAGTGGGACACGTGCCAAACAGAGACGAAAGGATTTTCCCCGCAAACGACAGCGAGATGGCCACTTCTCCACATCTTTAACATATTCACTGCTTTCCGCTCGTCCCCATTGGAGACGTGGAGAAGCATTGACACACAGAAGGGTCCGGTTGCCGAACCACGGCTGAAAACAAAGACCACTCCTTTATTCGTTCCTAAACAGAGGATTCCCCCTTTCGTGGATGTACATATGGCAGTCGGCTCACCTCGTCCATACCGTGCAACGCCAGGTAGAGCACACACCAGTGTGGGTTCTTGAAAACAGTGACAGAAGAGTTCCTTTGTGATCTGGTTGTAGACACACATCTGAAGCGGCGATGTTGGCAGGAACAGACAGTACTGAGTAGAAGCGGCTATACAGGAGTTTACCACGCTCAGTGACATTATTGGAGCAGAGTTGTCGATGTTTTCCCAGGGAAAGTAGACAGGCTGTCGTCTACGGGAGAGTTGTTTCACGTTGGCCATGAAGTACTCTTGTTTAGAAACTACCGCTGTTGCCTGCAACCTTTTCGCATGTGACGCGGTGAATAACTGCTTTGGCGTTTGACCGAAGCTGGCGGCTGACGCCACAATTGCCTTGCGTGCATCGTCGTCGGAAGCTTGACTAATGGCGCGCTCCACGCCCTGTTTGTAGGAGAGGTGGTGAAACACATTCAGTGCTCCTACAGCTTCTTGTCCGCGCTGTTTGCAACCGAACACAAGATCAATCCAATTGTGCAACTTTTCACTCACGGCATCGCTCTCCAGAGCAAGCACATGAAGGTGAAGGAACTTCTCCACACTTCCTCTGGACCATTCAGGCAAAATGACATCCCCCAACTTGATGCTGTCACAACGGGTCCCAAGTTCTGTCTGGTTTTTGTTCAGGAATATTTCGCATGACGAAAAGAACTCAGGTATCAACTCCTTCACGTCACCAGCTCCACTGCAGCTCTCCCAGGCCTCTGCAATACTATGGAAGAGGCGATCTGCAATGTCTAGTTTCCCTCCTTGGTACCGTTTAGACCACTGGGTAAAAGGTTGCAAGCGAATCAGATAATACATCACAATGGCACTACTGCTGTAATGAGTGCCATGATGAAAAGGCGGCTGTGTGGCATCCAGCCATTCTTCGTAGCGAGCACGCAGCTGCGCTGCCTTAACAGGTTTTAGAGCCCCCACAGGCTTCGCCAAGTCGCGGTAGATACCCGCATTTCCCAAATCAATCGTTGGACTTCTGTAGTCGTTAAGCACCCACGGCATAACAGGATACTGGCTGATGTCTGCAACCGTCCTCCCGGCGGCGTCGTTTACGCAAAGTAAGTACTGCCGGTTACTAATCTCATGCCGAATCCACCGCTTCGTCAAACCGGCTAAACGAGATTCCTTGAGACTACTTGTTTCAACTTCCACATGCGGGGCCACACTCGAAATGATGGATCGCAGTTTTTCTCGCGCGGTTTTTGAGAATGAAAGTTCGTCGTCAAGTGCCACAACGAAGTATCTGTCACCGTTTTCGAGCTCAAATTCTAAAGCAGTGGGCATATGTTGGAAAAGCCGTTGGTGTAGAGTTTGCACATTTCCAAGAAAAAATCGCCAGATACGCGTTGGAGAACTCTGGAGAGATGACTCGGAACACATCAAGCGGAAGTACTGTGAGTAGCGAAAGGCGGCCTTTGTGTTTGTCACTGCCTCCCCAAACCGCACCGGCAAAATGCGTCGTATAGCATCATGAACAAGAGTAGATTTCATAGAAGACCTTTTGACCTTTGTATACCGTCGGCGTTGCGCAATAACGATGTCTCCGTCTGTTGTCACTTCGCTGTTATTCATTATCACGACTTCGCCATTAGTCACAAGTAAAACACAGATAAGACACTCGTTGCCTACAAGATAGTACACGTTACCAACAAAGAGGATGCTATGATAGGGCACCGGGTCGAGTATGCGATGGAGAACTGCCGCAGCTTGGACTCTGAGGCCACACTCCAATGAAACTGTATCCTGGAGAGTGCTCCGCATAGGAAGACAAGCGAGTGGTGAATACCGTACGTACAAGCTCATATGGTGTCCACCCAAATCGTTGAGGTCTTCGCATGTGCAAAAACATGTGTAACCGATAGCACCACTAGGGTGCAAACACAGAGCCTGCGGTTCCCCCGCCACACCACCACCCTGTGGCAACATTTGTTGCTGTCGTGTCGGTTCACCACACACACTCCTGTGCGTCAGGAGTGCTGGGTCCACAAAAGTAGAGGTGTCGTTAAATTGTTTCCAGTTCAGATGTGTCGCGCTGCACATTTCTTGGCACGCTTTGAGAAACTTAAAGCGCTCATGGCGGTGCTCTGATATAGAATGCCGTATCCACCGGAGGTATTTCCTTCTTTGCATGTTCCATTCGGCCGTGTGGTACGTACACTGCACTGTACGCAGGCGGCTTTGAACATCACCACGGCGTTCAAACAACCAGACGAGGAATTTCACCCTATCCGAGTCTGGCGACGCAAGCAGATGGAATCCACCCTGGAGGTCAACACACCCTTTTCTGGTCAAAACGGACTGAAAAGCTGGGGAACCTTTGTTTACCGAAATGAGTGTTTGCCACACTTCGGCCAACCTTGCGGCTGTTTCTGAAGTAAGTGCAGACTCCGCCGACAGAAAGGTCTCAGAAACATCCAAAAGCCGCATTACAACAAAACCCAACAATTCGGCTGATGATATCGGAAGAGTGAAGATAATGTTACGACTGTCATACATTAGTTCAATTACAGCAGCCGCCTTGGATTCACCCTCCTGATAGAATGACGGTGCCATTATGCAAATAAGCCATTCAGAAATTAAATGCTGAAGCAACTTGGTATGTTCAATGCCCGAACATTTTTCAAGCAGGAATCGTATGAAATTCATCACAGCAGCCGGAGGTATAGCTGCACCACTCTTCAGTCTGCTTATTAGATACTGCGCCACAGCCACCATGTTCTTCAACACACACTCAGTTGCCTCACCATGTGAGCTGCCATTCACAATATTTGTGAGCGCTTTTAACCACAGACGGCATACAGTCGCACAGTACGCAGACTCCGCTGTATTCCCTACGCCATGAGGGAGGACAGCAAAAGCCCGGTGAAGCGCAAAGACAAGTTTTGACACCATCTCAATCTTATTTCCCCGCCTCTCGCCTTGGGTCTTCAAGGTGAAAGCATACCTCCTGATATGTGCAAAGAAGAGGATGCGACATACATCGTATAGCTGCTTCCTTGCAATGGGCAACAAGATGTCCACATCGCAGTTATGCGGCCCCATATTTTCGAAAGCGTCAGCAGCATCACCCAATACGGCCACAGCATCGTAACCATCATCTGTGCTTCCAGTCTTTACTTCTTCTTCTTCTTCTTCTTCATCGTCACCTTCATCACCTGTAGAAGCATGCACATCATACACCTCTGAAGTCGCAAACAAGCCCTCCTGGTTTTCCAACGGGCCATCCATCCCTGACGTAATGAACAATAGCAGGAATACAAAGTCTATTGGGTTACACACCTGCTGTGAAAGATACAGTGTTTTGGACAACACAGTATATTGCATGTAATTCTCCGCAATCCACCGCACGACAGAAGCGACAAGCTTTCCAACATCATCCACATTAATTAATGCCCTTTCAGAGAACAAACCCGTAGACGCTGCTCTTGGTGCCATACGTTGTGGGGATCGCAGCCGAATGCAAAAAGCAACAACAATGCAGCTGCGTCGCCATGGCGAAGACTGAGAAACGCATTTCGCTCTTGCCTTTACAGCCGCGTAGTACAGGCTACATGTAACACCGGCGTAGTTCACCACAGGTTCACGGTGCAATAAAAGAACCGCATTCCTCCCAATGAGCTCCATAAGCAGGCTTAGAAGGGATGGAACCGCGGCGCTGGTGTCTATGGCTAACGACGGATGCACTAGATGCTGTGGCCACTCTTGCATTTTCCACTCATGTCCCATGAAACCGTGCAATAAAACGGATGATACATCTACTTGATGAGAGTGATGCCGCAAATTATCGCATAGCAGTAATATCATGTCGCCGAAGCGTTGCCTAAAGTGAAGTTTCCTCAAGTAGCATACGACAAAGAGGCGCAGCGACATAGATACTGACACCGGGTGCGACCACCTATTCGTCATTGTGTGAAACCAGCATCGTGGTACAACGCTTGAGAGTGACTCGACAAACTTCTCTCCATCTCCAGAGAGAGACACCGTGCACGCATCGCACAGAACTTTCAGAAGGAGGTTACGAACAAGAACGATATGCTCAAACCCAACTAAAGGCAGTTTAGATACCAGTCGACCAGAAACCACACCGAAATCCTGCTCCACCGGGACTGTTGACGCGCACAAAGCTAGAATATCACCCAGTGCTGCCGTGTTGTCAGAAAGGCACTGCATGTATTGTGCCACAACATCAATGGCAGACATAAGCAGATGTACAGGAAGGTATTCACGTACGAGGCCACACAAAAAACCATTAAAGAAGTCACAGTAACGGAGCCGCAGAGCATTTACCACTCTGAATGGGTTACTCGGCCGAAGAAGGGCATCAAAGTGGAATAAGATACACTTCTGCGACGACTGTGGGAGACATGAGACGATCTTCCAATTAAATAACACATGCTCCATGGGTGCCGTATGGAACAAAAAAAGGTTGCCACTACCGGGCATTTCGGTGACACACATCGAAAGAAAGGCCTTCATTCCCTCTTCGGTGCCCAGATATACTCTTGGGAGGCGTATAACTTGCGACATCACCTGACTAGCAAACATCGTTAGTCTAATGTCAGCTATCCCTGTCACCGCGCTGAAGCAAGTGGCGATGATCTTCAATGTAGAGACGGCCACCCCCTGCAGTATTTGCATATTGGTGTTATCATTGTCAACTTTCAGAGTATAATAAAGATCGGTAATGGCAACGAACCAGCGCATCCACTCATGAGGTGCTCCGTGGGATATCAGAGTCGTCGGTACACTACTCCCTGCACCTAAAGGCTCACTGTGTGTTCCATACAACTCGAAGTGCGACAGATCCCCCTTCAATACTCCATTCCGAAGCACCCATTTTTTGTTATCGAGAGACTGCAGTAGGGGCGCATCTACCAAGACAACTGCTCGAGCGTACAAAGACAAAAGCAACGAGGCCTCCGGAAATGGAGCAATTCGAATTATCTTCGAGTTCACGAGAGAACCCAGTGTTCCACTGCGCTCACTGGCTGATATGTATCGGAGCATCTCGGACTTCAACAGTGTGGACTCCAATGCGCCTCTTATTCCTGAACAACATCCCTTAAGAGACTGCGGTGAGGCGCAGTACAAGGATAGTATCACCTCATCATCTAATGCCGCACCAAACACATAAAATGACAGAAGGCGCAGTTTACATCCCTCTGCAGAATTTCCACGCGGAACACCTACTGTACAGAACAACTCCTGACAATTGTCCGACAGAATTCCAGCCACGATTGCTGCCGTCGTGGATGGTGTGACAAGTGCCGCCGGACCCGCTGCAACGTCGTGTGTGAATATGCAAACCCCATCAAAGAATACCTTAAAACGCGAAGAAAACAACTTCCCACATTGATAGCTGATTGACACATGCTTCCAATCACCTGGTTTGATAAAAGGAAGAGCAACTACTTCCGGTGCTTCACCAGTTAACGAGAACGTCAAAGCTGACCTCCTGCGCAATGTTTCAATACTGAGCGAAACCAAAGACGTTTTACCATTTTCAGGCCATCGCAACTCCCACAGCGGTAATACCGGGCAGATGTCTTTCCCCTCGCATTCGTCCCAGAACACCCACAATGCAACCGTGTAGCCCTCGGAAGGGGACAAACGAGAGCTTCCTGCATGTAACACTCCTTGCACGCCACTGTCTTCAAGCATTTCGATAAAGTCATGGAACTCATCCCCCGTGTTATGATACTTTTCAACGGTGACAGGTAGCCATGCATCTTGAATCTTGCGAAGATGTTCAAGTGTATAATTCCTTTGTGGAGGAAAAAGCACACCGAGAACTTCTTCCCCGGCAACATCGGCCACATACGAAAGGAGGCTGCATAAACCTTGCTTCGTCACAAAGGACGTGAACTGCTTGTCATTGATTGGCATACCATATCGCTTTCCAAGAACAGCCAGAAGCTCCTTTAGTTCCGCCGCCAGCCCACCTGGCTCGCTCTTGAGTTCTGACATCCACTGCGCAAAAACACCAAAAATAAATGGGTGCTCGAACCTGCAAAAAACCGGTACAAAAAATTGTCTTACTTCCGTGCAACACGAGCGATCAGGTATTACCGCGTTTGCGCCCAAATCACTAACAAGAGCCAGATTGCGTGAAGAGCCGTAGTAACCACAACAAATATCAGTCAAAAGTTGTATCATCCACGGCGTTCGCAGCGGCACAACCACAGAAGCAACCACACTTCCCGCTTCACTCCATCGCAAGTACTTTAACATTAATGCTAAAGAACTTCCAATAAGATGTACATCCGTCTCGAACTGTGTGCTTTGCTTTGCTCCCCGAAGAAGCGAAAGGCAGAGGTAGACACCGTTGCCCTTGATCGCGGCTATAGCGCATTTCTCGTTTTGCAAAACAGACACAAATAGGCGCAGGAGTACAGTCGTCTGCGGCAACCACGGGTCATGCGCACTCTTTTCCACCAACTCACCCATGAGGACAGCAACACGACGGCTTGTCATTCGTACCATTGAAAAGAAGAGTTTCTTTAACACCGTCACTACCTCTATACACCCAGAAGCATGGGCACGTAGCAATATATCTAGGATATGGCGAGGACCCTCAATCTTATCCAACACAAGTACGAACGAACTTGATACCAGGGCCGACTGAAACAACCGTGCCGCACTCGAAATGTGAGTGAAGACAAGTGGCTCTTTCCAGTCATGTATCGATGCTAATTCTAACAGCGTCCATTGTAGTGCATCATGAAGAAAACAAGTGTCAGCTGTGTACTTACTCTTCGCCACATACAAACTGAGGAAGTCCAATACTGCTACTTTCACTTCTACGTCTGCCTTCGACCTTTCGTTAAGCGCTTTCACAAGACTAACGACCAGTAATGAAATATCCATATGCTGTGAAGATGCTTGCAACAGTTCCAAAACACGGTTTATCTGATGGATCCTAAGTGACAGCAGATTCTCTATACAAGAATTTAGCACAAACAAGGTCAACTCATTATCCACACCATCCATTGAAATTAAGCGGAAAAGAGAATCACCACAGGCGTCCACCGCTGTTGCTGTGGAGGCGCAGACAAAAAATCCGACTATACACTCAACAGCCTCACGGCATGTGATGGGGTTGACCCGCGACGACTCAGGAAAGACACCGGCGCCCACGGAACCAACAAGGCGTTGAATTTTGCTCAGTTGCGATGGCAAAACAGTTGAAAAAAATCCTACAACATTTTTCCTACTTTGTGTTGGATTTCCCCCACTTTTATTTCCGCGGATGGCGGTGGCGAGAACCTCAATGCATTTAAACAGCCTCATTACAACCTCCTTGCACAATGCCATCGGCTCCTGTAAGGAGAGGATGGTAGAGAGTAAAGCACCAAAGTCGATGGTTTCATTCTCAGGGTACCCGAAAACATTTCGAATGCATATCAGACATTCCATACAGCTAACAAGGCTATGCAGACGCCCACTCTGTTCTTCCAATGAGTGCAGAGTAGAGTGCGCCGCAAGCAGTGCCCGTTGAAAAATGATATCCTCAGCAACATCCGTTTGGTCTTCGCATAGGGGGACCGATTTTGCTCCATCCTTTAGTATCAACTGCACAATCGTCAAGAGATTTTCTGACAGCTCCACACCGGAGTCAAGGTGATTTGAGAGTGTGATTTCAAACGTCCCAATAACCGTACGTAACACCATACTCTGACGCATATCAGACAGCAGCGACGGAGCGTGTTCAGAACACGTCATGTAGTGCCGGACTGCATTCATTGTCTTTACGTCAGCCGAAAGCAGACATACATCGATTTTTTCCCCTCCAGAATCCAACATAGAGCGCACCGCAACGCCATGCACTTGGACAAGCAATAAGGGAATGTGATACGCTGCGACCGCGCCAAGCACCTTGCCGAATCTGCTTGTCTGGACAACAGAGGTGTTGTAGAAACTCTGCGTTCCCATTATGTGCAGCACTGATACGACTCTCGAATAACTAGCACTTTTCATCAAAGAAAGGACATCCTTACGCTCGTTTAAGCTGTGCAGCGCTGAGCTAATAACAGAGGCGAGACATTTGCACAGCACCATGGCAAGTTTAACACCATCGTCAAAGACATTCTTGAACGCGATCGCCTCACTGTGGGGGCACTCATTCTCAAAGTTTGCCAGCAAAACAGGTAACAGACTGAATTGGCGATCCCCTGGAGACGCATTCAGAACGTCTCGCCACCGTTTCTGTAGGGTCGCTAAAGTGGCCGCCTCGTCCATTAGGCCCGTCTCTTTCACGGGTATTTGTCTATACGACTACGGGGTCTTCTCTATAGGAGGAAGGGGGAAAAACACTTTTATCTTCGTATGTGTATACACATATATACATACAGGCATATTTTTTTATTTTGAAATCGTAACCAACCAACGAAACATCACATAAGTAACTCCGGAACTCCACCCCTTCACACAGAAAAAAAAACAACAAGACACATCACCGTTTAAATAGTCCCCTTTCTCCTCGTTTTCTACCAAAATGTATTTCCCCAAATAAAAAAAAATTATTTGGAAAACTCTTCAACGTCAGATGATAACCTCCGGTTCGAGGTAGGACTGAGCAATAGTCTTATTTGGGAGCACATTGACACCGTTTAGAAACAACTCGCTCCTAACCTCCACGTCCTCTCCAAGAACCGCATTGTTGACAATGTGGCACCAAGATCCGATTCTTCCCTTCCAACCAATTATGCTTGAATCAATCAAAGTTCCTCCACCGATGGTGGTGTTTTCCAATACAGCAGAGCGTACGATACGACACGATGGCCCAATAATGCAGCCAGGACCGATGGTGGCGAAGGGACCGATAACACATCCGTCACCGATTTTCGCGGTGGGGTGGATCATGACGCAACCGTTTACACTAAAATGGAGCTTTTCTCGTGAGCCACTTGTGTTGCACAATTCTTCTGACTCTCTTTTGGTACCAATGAGCGACTGAAGGTACTTGGCAATACCTTCGATATAATCTCTTGGAATTCCAATATCCATCCAAAAACCCTCGAGATTAAATGCACAGAGTTGCATCGCGCTTGCCATCTGAGGAAATATTTGTGTCTCAATGGAAGTCTTCTCAACCTTGATTCGGTTAAGGATACTCTTGTTGAAAACATAGATGCCGGCATTGATCTTGTCGCCCACAAAGTTTTTCGGCTTTTCCACGAATTGATCAATAACTCCAGTGGCCTCGTCAAAAACGACCACACCATACTTCTGCCACTCCGTTACTTTGGTGACAGCAATAGTTCCTTCTCTTCCATGTTTCCGGTGATATGAAAGAAGTTCACGAAGCGGGAACCTGCAGGTTATATCGGCGTTAAGGACAAAGAACGGCTGATCATCCTGAAGAAGGAATTCACGAGCAAGAGCCAAAGGTCCAGCCGTTCCGAGGGGCTCTTCTTCATGAGAAAAAACAAACGACACTCCAAGTTCCTTCGACCAGTGGTCCATGATTTCTTTCATTGCATCGGATCGGTACGCAACAGCCAGAATCACCTCGGTTACTCCTGCGTCACGCAGTGCTTCCACTTGGTGCACGATCATCGGCTTATTGCAGAATGGCACAAGGGGTTTTGGCATTGTGAGAGTAAGCGGCCGCAGCCGGGTACCATATCCCCCGACAAGGATCAGAGCTCGCATTCCTTTAGAGACTTCACCGTGCCGTCTTTCCTCAGACATCCTTGCTATATTTTTTCCCTTTTTGGGAGGTGGACTTTGTATATTATTTTTGGGAGCTTGTAAGTTGTGCAGCTTTGGCGGCGAAGTAATAATAATAATAATAATAATAAAGACATTCGATAAAATTAAAGGAAAATGAAGAAATAAAGATGGAGCGGGATATTTTGTCGCTAAAAAAATTACAATTATGATATAGGAAGGCACAAAACCCTGGATGCCAAAGGAAAGCATCAGCACTCCACTGTCCACATGTATAACTTCAAGCCGTCTGTCTCCATCAGCACCCGGGAATTAAAACCGAAGGTGGCCGGCACGTCGTCCAACTCAACTTCCATCCTCTCCGAACGGGCCACACTGGCGCACAAGAACACACCCTCCGAGGAGGCACGCGAGGAATGAAGCGCTCTTTTTGCCGTCTTTAGCCCCGCTTTGAGAGTAGCATTGAAATAGAAAATATCACTTCCGATAATTATGTCAAAGGCTTCCACATTTATCACTCTTTTGAGCTCGTCAACAGCCTCATCGGATCCCCAGCGAAGCAGTCCTGCGCTGCAGTTTCCAAGGCAACCTTCCTCAATACTCAGTTTCAGCATAGCCATAGATACTAAGGAGCAATCAGATAGCACTACCTTTGCCGCGTATGCCGCAGCTGTAAAGCCAACTATACCAGTCCCACTTCCAAGTTCCAGCACCTTTTTGCCGCGAAAAAGGGCGCTGTTTCCCGCTATCCAACGCGCGAACGGCGCGGCGGCGGGCCACTCAAACTGAGGCAGCGTTTCCCTTTCTAGCAACGTGGCGTATGGATTTTCATGCGGGTTGAGGCAACTAGAATCTTTTCGCACAAAGAACATGCGACTTCCTTCGACTCCAGGCAAAGGTCTCCAAGTGAAGCGGCCATCTTTGAGCATAATGGTACTCAAATTTTCGATATAGAGGCGATTCTCTTCCACATTTTCTGCAGAATGGATCCAGATACTCATGGTACCTACCTAGAATGAAAAGGAAACGCAGTAGTCTGACCGCGACGACCTCCATGCATGAGCAAAATGCCACAATACAACAAGAATTATATATATAACCACGCATGAGATCTTTTAATGCGATGAAAAATCTTGTGACGGCTCAACACGGTCACCACCAAAGCCCCTTCCCCGGTGATGCAGACGATGGCGGCCGCCACTGCCTCGCCCGCCGCAATAGCCACGCCCTCCACTCCTCCCTCGGCTGCCTCCTCCACTCCTCCCTCGGCTGCCTCCTCCTACTCCTTCTCCTCCTCTACCCCTGTCTGCACACATCACTGGCTTGAAGGAGAGACTACTTGCCGCAGTGTTGCCCAAACGCAGGGGTTGAAAGCGTGGCGCTGCCTCCAGACCCGCACTAGTTTGATAGGGTACGTCGGCTCTATTCTTCCTGGCAAGAAACTCCCTTTTGAGCTGCTGCACTTCGCCACCGAGAGGTAAAACACATGTCTCCGTCATGATAATAGCACCATTTCTCACCTCCGCCTTCTCTTTTATAAGTAGTTTCTCCCCAGGGATAGGAATGGTGCGGAATACATGAAGCGTAGAGAGCTCAATGGCAGGGATCTCAGTATGCCCATCACTAAGCACAAGACGCAAAAGACGTGTGTTGGTATCTTTTTGTAGCGCCGCACCAAGTGCCGCTTCTTCTGCACTTGCATCGGCGCAAGGCCGAAGGGGTTGTGTGGCGTCCCTTGAGCTCTGCACTTGGAGTA